GAACACAGAACAGAGAGAGTAAAGAGGGGTATACCCAGGGGTGTATTTACCCTAGGGCCAGAAGGGCTATAGCCCGGGGCGGCAGGCCGCGAGGGGCGGCCCAGGGCTAGGGCTTTGGTTTGGACGTTTGAGAAAATACAAAAAATATTTTCAGACTTAAGCCTAGAACGCCCCTGAGCCACCTTTCCACATGTTGATTTAATGTCTGAAGAAATTTGAAATTCAATTAAAGTATGAAAGCCGCCCCTTGTGATGTGCGTGGATTTCATGTCTGGAGAAATTCGAAATTAATTGAAGTATTATTAATTGAAGAAAGTGGGTAGTAGAAAGTGACAGTTGAAAAATTTTGCTCTTAAATTTAAATTTAATTAAAAATCAAATACATTAATTTAAATCAATACCATCAGCAGATTTTAATGTCAAGATAATATACCCACCTGTCCAATGTTATCTCCTCACATAATTTACACGCATCATGGAACAAGCAAAACAGTCTGTTTATGACATAACGACACTGTTTAATGAAAGAATGTCTGCATTTGAAGCCGAGCTACGGAAGACACCTCCAACTTCAACCAGTTCAACTCTTAAAGTAGAATTTCGTTCCTTTAAAAGTTTTATTGTTGAAGTCCTCAACAATTTACAGCGACAGCTGAAGGTTCTGGCGCACAACGGTGATCGGTTAGAAATGAGAAGTCGCCGTAAAATGGTATTGCTGCACGGTGTGCCTGAGAGTGAGTCGGAGGATACAGCTCAGATTGTGGTGCAGGTTGTGAATGATAAGTTTAAGCACAGCACTTTCAAACTGAGTGACGTTAAGCGCTGCCAGAGAATGGGGCAGTCAGCTAGTGCTCACAAACCCAGACCCATCATCGTTAAGTTTCATGACGTCACATTCCGGGACAAGCTGTGGTTTGACAAAACGAAGCTTAAAGGAACTGGCATCACTCTCTCGGAATTCCTGACGCGAACGCGTCGTGCTACATTTATGGCAGCAAGAGAGCGCTTTGGCTTGAACAAATGTTGGACCAGGGAAGGATACATATACATTCTCGGCCCAAATAATTCAAAGCATCGCATATCCACCATGAGCGAACTCCATAAAATCGAGCAAGCATTGTCGAAGCCGGCTGCTGTTACGCCGAAGTTACTACCGAAGTCTAGACGGGTAGCTACAAAAAATAAGTTTCTTTTACTATATTTTTAAATAACAAACTGTCATCATCACTATGAAGGTACATATTTTATTACATTTCTATTTTTGTTATTAAAATTATACAAGAAATTACAATTACATCAACAAAGTCAATGTCACTATGTCAATATTGTCAATGTCAAATCACTATGAACGACACTAACATGTTGTCTTTAAGCGTAAGAGGAATCGTGCACATGCAGCCTTATAAACAAAATATGTGAATAAAATGTCTCAATTTGTAGATACGGTGTGCTGTATGTACTTTTCTAATCTGTCTTTTTTTTTTTTTTGCTTGTTCGTAGCAATTAATTCTGTGGTGTTATAATGTAATTTATTTTATTTTAACTGTTATTTATACCCTTTGAGTTGGTTAGACCATACTAGGGCAACTCACAAATTATATCATTTAAATACCTAATAAGAAATGTTGCACTGGTACTGGTTGTTCATTAGCACCGTTATTCTTTTCTTTTCTTTTTTTTTTTTTCTTCTCAACTTTTGTTTTGTTTAGAACAGTATTTTGATCCTCTACATGCAACTGGCAGATAGAAGTTGTGGATTTAAATAAACCTATTATTTTTTATTTAAACATTGTGTATAGGTATAGTATATATTTCATATATATTGTTATTTAACTTTTATAAATATTTAATTAGGTATTTTATATATGGACGACAGTGATAATGCAGATAGTTTTTTATCAGCTTGCAGCAATGATAGCTTTTCTAGCTTACCATCACTTAATGATGTCATCATGTCGCACTTTTCTGATGTTCCAAATAACTTAAATGTTATTCATATCAATGCCCAAAGCATTCCAGCCCATTTCACAGATATGCTGACTAGTTTTGACTGTAAAGATATCCACGCCATTCTTGTTTCTGAATCCTGGCTAAAGCCATGTCTTCCTTCAGCTTCATACTCCTTACCGGGTTTCCAGTTGATCAGAAATGACCGCGCCTCTGGTGGTGGAGGTGGAGTTGCTATATACCTGAGATCACATATTCCATACAATGTACTTAACATGTCTCCACAGCCGCCGCCACCTAACGCAGGTGAGCACTTGTTCCTAGAGGTGACACTGCGGCATACTAAAATCCTGCTTGGGGTATACTACAGCCCATCATGTCGCGTGGACTTTTTCTCTTCTTTTGAAAATATATTGCAATCTCTTACCCCTTCTTACAGTCAAACAATTATTATGGGTGACTTTAACACTTGCCTTCTCAAGAAAGACTTTCGCTCTTCAGCATTGTCCACTATCATCGAGTCTAGTAACCTTTTCATTCTACCTTTAAATGCTACTCACCATTTCCCTAACTGTACTCCTTCTCTTCTTGATCTTGTTTTTGTCTCTTCCTTAGAGCGTGTTGCTAAGTATGGTCAATGTTCAGCTGATGCCTTCTCTTATCACGACCTTATCTTTGTCTCTTATAAAGTTAAGCCTCCGAGGGAAAAAAGAAAAATTCTTCGTCAGCGCAATTTTAGTGGTATGGATATTAATAGTCTCCAACATGACGCTCATAACATTGATTGGACTCAATTATATGCATCTAACACAGTTGATAAAAAGCTTAACTATCTAGTTGCACAACTGACTCAGTTGTATGATGTGCATGCTCCGATACGCTCCGTAAAGATTAAACATCCTCCTTCACCGTGGCTTAGTGAAGATATTAAAGCATTAAGTCACCTTAAAGCTGTGGCCAAAACTAAATACAAACATAAGCCCACTAGCGCAAACTGGGAGAAATTCGTTGCAATTCGTAATCGCTGCAATAGAGTATGTAGGAAAGCACAACGCCACTACATCCACAGTTCCGTCGAAAACGGGGACCCAGCAAAAGTCTGGAAGTTTCTTAACTCTATAGGGATTGGGAAATCTCGACAAACGGCCATACCTGGTAGCATTGACATAAATTTATTAAATCAACATTTTTCCTCTTCGGCTCATTTTGACGAGAGTACGAAAGCAAATACCATTCAATCAATTTCATCTCTGCCCCGCCCTAATCATGATCCTTTCTTCATTAATCAATTCTCTGAATGTGATGTTAAAAAGAGCGTCTTGTCAATTACATCCAATGCAGTGGGCAATGACTGTGTCAGCCGAAAAATGGTAATGCCAATCCTCGATGAAATTCTTCCTGTGCTAACACATATATTTAACTTTTCCATATCTGTTAGTGAATTTCCGTCATCCTGGAAAGAAGCTCAAGTTACTCCACTTCCTAAGAAATCTAACCCTGTTTCCTTGTCAGATTTTCGTCCCATATCCATCCTCCCATTTCTATCTAAAGTCCTTGAGCGTCTTGTTCACAACCAACTTAGCGTATTCCTAGTTAAAAACAACCTCATGAATCCCTACCAATCCGGTTTCCGACCAGGTCACAGCACTACTACTGCCCTTATCAACATAACGGATGATATTAGGCTAGGAATGGAAACTGGAACCATCACGATCTTGTGTCTACTAGACTTTAGCAACGCGTTCAACACTGTTGATTTCGACGTTTTGCTTCAAAAATTACGCTCTATTAACATATCTCCATCAGCAGTTGATTGGTTTCGAAGTTACCTGTCTGGTCGCCGGCAGCGCGTCCGCGTTGAAGATTCTTTCTCTTGTTGGTGTGACTTAACTGCCGGGGTGCCGCAGGGTGGCGTTTTATCTCCTCTTCTTTTTGCTGTTTATATTAACACAATTTCCTGTCAGTTACTTTCTTCCTACCATCTTTATGCAGACGATTTGCAAATTTATACGAAAGTCCCCGCTGAGGATATAAGTTCTGCCATTGAAAGTCTTAATAAAGATTTAGCTCAGATTTTTGAATGGAGCCGCAAACATGGGCTATAGGTATTATATATTTATATATGTATTGTATTTTATATGATAATAGATATTATATTATAGTATATGTAAGTCTATTATAAAATTGAATTATAATAAGTAAATAACAATTGTCAATTATGCATATTTACAAATTGTTTATATGTACACCATCCACTACCCCATCATTAGATCTTTTATATTTAACTCCATCCCAAGGTTGCCTGGAAGAGATCACTTTTAGTGATAAGGCCGCCAATTGTACGTCTCCTGTTTTCGTCATATAAATGTATTTTTGTCTTTGTGTGTACAATAAAGAATATTCTATCTATCTATCTATCTATGCAAGCCGCCCCTTGTTCTTTCCTGAACCGGTTGAACCGTCTATTTTTTTTCCGCCTCGGTTTTTTAATTTTATGTCTGAAGCAAGTCTGAAGCCAAAAAAAAAATAATTTTAAGTCGCCCTGCGCAAGTTAATTTCTGGAAGTTCTAAAATGTACAGGGTCAAGTGCAGAGTAAGCTTTACATTGGGGCACCTTGTTCCATTGGTTTAAAGGCGATATTGCAACAAAACTGTACAGGTTGATCTGCACTTGACTGTACTAGTCTATCTAGAAAAATAATGAAGTTTTCGTATGTTCGGAAGATATCAATAAGTATGCAAATCTATCACAACGTTCATCTAGGTATGGTAGGCGCTTTGTTTTCGTAGAGAGAGATAGAGGGGTAGAGCCGGCGGGGCGGGGTCACGCCGCGCAGGCGCCGACGGTGGCCGCGGCGGCCGATGGCGGGGGAGGGGTGACGCCGTTCGGTTCGTTCGTACCTACTTCACTTGTTTCAAGTTATCTCTCGTTTGCGCATCTAATTGTAAGATTAAAAACAATAAGGTAATCAATCAGTTAACAGTTGAGTCAGTGCTTATATATTAATTAAATTAATCCAGTTCATGTCATCATGAATCTGAATAAAAAAAAAATGAGCGGCCACGCTTACAGAAAAAAAGCGTTGGAAAGAAGAAACAAAGAAGAAAAGCTTGTCAAACAAACAGCAAAAATTGATAGTTTTTTGAAAAAGAACAATGACGAAGTGTCAAGTTCTACAAGGTTGAATGACCTAGCAGAGATCGAGGCGAAAGAGGTTAGTAAAATGAGTTTTTTTTAATACCTAACCTAGATTTGATATCTTTATAAATTCTCAATCTCAATCTTTATAGGTACGAATATAATGTAGCTTACAAATTTTAATATTATCTACTCTACATTCGTTTCGTATTGGTAGAAAATAATATCATTTCTGCAATTGTGAGTTGGTTGTAGGTTTGTAGGTACCTTGGTGAAGTAGGTAAATTGGTGACCAGCGGTTTGTTGTTAAAATTACAATACAATTAAAACTGCGCGGCATCTATTCTACTAATGGAATGATAATGAACGAACAACAAAAAATATTCTCCAATTTTCTTCAGCGCAAAGACTTCAGAGTGCGCTGAACGGCAGTAAGTGAGGTGACCTGAGCATGCAAGCGTATTTTTCGTCCTAACCATCATAGGTACGGTACCTATAAGATAAGATATAAGGCGCGCTTGGCGTGGGCTATTAATTAATTTATTTGAGCTCACTTCTATTTGTTTTCATGTTCAATGCTTTGGGCTTTAATTTGGTTATATTATAGGTATTTATGGTATCAGTGTGTGATCCTCCTCCTCCCTAGTCGTTCACTCTTGGCAGAGCGGTCGTGGTTTCACGATGATGCATTCAATTCAGATAGTGTCGCCCTTGCGATGCTTCTCCACTTGTTTCGGTTTTCGGCGTTGCGACAACATTGATTTATGGAGGTACCTGTCGCAGCCTTTATGGAATCAGTCCAACGAGTAGGTGATCGACCACGCGACCGCTTGCCTTCTACTTGTCCCTGGACAACGAGCCTTTCCATGGAGTTTTGGTTTCGAATAACGTGTCCAAAATATCTGAGGATTCGTATTTGTACAGTCGACGATAATCTCTCTTTGATTTTGAGTTCTTCCAAAATCGAAACGTTGGTCCGAAACGCTGTCCAAGGGATCCGCAGCAGTCGTCGCCAACACCACATTTCGAGGGCATCAATTTTACGTCGGTCTTTCAAGCGAACCGTCCATGTTTCCGCGCCGTATAGAAATATTGGGAAGACTAAGCTTCTCATCAGGCGAACTTTTGTGGATTTTGTGATGTTACGGTTGCACCATACTTTTTTCAGTTTGTCGACGGCAGATCTTGTGATAGCACATCTCCTACGAATCTCATCTTCACATCCACCAGTGTTCGTGATCGTTGAACCGAGGTACACGTAACTTTGCACAACTTCACAGTTGCTAATGTTGGTGATATCAGGTTGATTAAGTTCAGCTCTGTCCACGATCATCATCTTGGTTTTGTCTCTGTTGATTGCGAGTCCGTAGGAGAGACTTATTGTCTCTAGGTTTGTTAACAGTTTCTCCATATCCTCCCTTGTACGCGTGAGAAGAGTTGTATCATCGGCGTACCGCAAGTTAGAGGTCTTCTGACCTCCCACTGAGACTCCCTTATCCCATTTCTCCAAAACAATCCTCATAATGTACTCCGTGTATATGTTAAAAAGAAGTGGAGAGAGAATGCATCCCTGCCGAACTCCAGCCTTTGTTTGAAAACTTTTCGAATCGCTGTCATCTATTCGCACTGTAGCAGTTCCATCTTCGTAGAGCCGGCGTATGAGACGGACTAGGTGGTTAGGTACTCCCATATGAATGAGTACGTCCCATAACTTATGCCATTCCACGGTGTCAAAGGCCTTGCGAAAGTCAACGAAACAGATATAGAGTGGGATGTTAAACTCTCTAGACTTTTCGATTATTTGTCGAAGAATCAATATCTGCTCTCTCGTCCCTCTACCCTTGACAAATCCTGCCTGCTCCAGGGCTATTTCAGGATCTAGAAAAGCACGTAGCCTGGTGTTGATAATATGTAGGAGTACTTTGCTGGCATGTGAAATCAAGGCTATGAGTCTGTAGTTGCTGCATTTCTTTGTCGATCCCTTCTTGTGCAGTGGTATAAATACGGAGTGTGCCCAATCCTGGGGCCATTTTTCTGTCTCCCAGATGCGATTGCAGATAATATGTAGCATTTCAACCCCGTATTCGCCCATCGTTTTAAAGATTTCTATAGGGATGCTGTCAGTTCCTACAGCTTTGTTACTCTTCAGATGATTAATTGCGGCTCGAACTTCACTCTTTAGTATAGATGGTTCCTTAGTATTATGCGCAACTCTCGAAGGTGTACTATATGATGATGCTATAGTTTTATCAGTAAAAAGCTGTCCATAATATTCCCTCCATACATCTACTATATCTTTAATTTCCGTTACAGTCACCCCATTGGAATCCTCAACAGTCCATGTCCTAGGCTTGAATTGACGAGTTATGCAACGAATCCTCTTAAATAAATCTCTCGTTTCATGGCGTTCTGCGTTTTTTTCCAACTCGATGCAAATGTTTTTGAGATGGTTGTTGCGATCTCTGCGTGAAGAAGATTGAATTTGAGCACCCATCGAATTCAAACCTTGAACAGATGCACCCTTTGCCTTCATTTCACGTCGACGCTCTACCAGGCGCCAGGTATCATCCGACATCCAATGTTGGTGTTTACCTTTCTTTCGGGCAGGTTGGGTCGACCGCATGGCCTCTTTTATTTGGTCTTTTGCAGATTGCCAGAGTGAGTCCGGATCATCATCTATCCTTTCCGACCATGTATTGCTACAGTTTGCCAGTTTGTTCTTAAAAGCAGCTTGGTCTATTATTTCGAGCCTCTGTTTCACTTTACCTGGTACGGACTTTCGCAACTTGAGTTTGAGATTGCATACTAGGAGTTGGTGATCAGATTGACAGTCAGCTCCGGGCAGTGTGTGTGCGTTCGTGATTGAACTTCGCCATCTAGATTTTATAAGTATGTAGTCAATCTGATTTCGGTATCTGCCATCAGGGGACGTCCAAGTGTATAGGCGTCTAGGATGATGCTTGAACACTGTATTCATAATAGTGAGGCTGTTATCAGCCGCAAACTGAAGCAATCTCTCTTCTCGATCATTCCTCTTACCGAGACCATAGCTACCCACAACAGTCGTCAAGCCCTCATCCATTCGTGTATCACCCACCTTAGCGTTAAAATCGCCAAGAATTATTAATAATTCTCTATTTGGTATGGCTGCTATTGAAGATTCAATATCATTGTAGAATCTTTCTACATCTTCGTCTTTTGCTGTGCTAGTCGGTGCATATACCTGGATAACATTTAATGGGGTGGGCGACGCATCGAGTTTCATTGTTATGATTCTGTTGCTGACGGGGTTGTAACCTAGGACTGCTTTAGTCCACTGTTTGGGAATTGTAATGGCCACTCCTGCGTAGCTACTGGTCCCATCTCCTGAAAAATAGATTGTATGGTTTTCCAAGTCTCGGTGGCCACTACTTTTCCAGTGAGTCTCGCTTAAACCAGTAATAACGGAATCGCATCGCTTGAGCTCATGATCTAAAATGTGTAATTTACCCTCATCAAGGAGTCCACGTACGTTCCATGTGCTAATGCGGGTGTCTTGGCGCAATTTTATTTGTTCTCTTCCAGTAACATATTTTCCGGGGGTCGCCTGGTTACCTACGTTCCCTCGGCCGGTAACCAATTTCACACTTTGAGTCCCGGGAAACTCAGAGCGCCGGTCGCTACGCGGATCGTCAGGCAAACGTACTTCCAAACTGTCTTGCATTTCATCATCAACTCTCGTGGGAAATTTAATGTAGTAGTATCCCGTTGCTTTCTACATCGCGGTACTATAGACTCAGTGTCCATAGAATTCTGATAGTGAACCGGTCCAAACCAAATTTCTTACGCTTCACCACAGTACTGATGGCTACCGCTGCCCTCCACCAGGTTTCAGACACAAAGCCTCTGTGGCTCGCCTCTTCCGCTGCATTGACCGTACCGACATCCTTTGTCTCCGCTCAGTCCACCGTTGAGGTCTTCACTCGTAACCCTGAGCATGGGTTGTGCGTTATACCCCGCAGAACTGGGTCCCTGTTGAACTTCGCCATCTATTCACTCCGGCCTACTAGAGTGTAAGATGCCCACCCCCGCGACGTGGACGCGCCAAACAGGAATTGCTCAAGTGAAAAGTAGAAAAGGTACCTCTACTCTTCCAGGAGCCGGGTTAATGAACGTGTATGGGTCCACGCTCAAAGTGTGTGATAGTTTTATTTTATTTACGCAATTAATTTTTCACCACTTCGTATATGTAATAAAATAAACATAAATTATTATATTAATGTGAAGTATTTTTCACGTCACGTTACTAACATATTATTTTGCTTTGTTAGATAGGTTCTTGTTTATTGTGTTAGTGCATGAACATGAACTTTTTTTTGCATTTTTTCCAGATTACGGTGGAAGGGAAAAATAAACCCAATGACAATATAAAAGCATCCGATTTGACTACGCCAGATCAAGTCGCTTCTAATAGTACTAATATTATTAAGAAATCTAACCCTACTGCTACCGTGGCTTCCTGCTCAGCATCTTGCAATCCCGCATGTGATTTAATTTCAACTAGTCTGCCTGCACCTTTGCATGAAGATTCTGCTATGGTCGATAAACAAAGTGAACTAAAATCTTCAGCAGTCGAAAGTGATCCAGCTCTGTGGGTTGTAACTGAAGATTTAATAGATCATTTTTCAAGAAATGGATTTGAACAAAATATTGAAGGCGAAGATTTTTCCAAATCCAAGCGAAGATCCGAGGATCAATATCGCTTCTTGTACAAAAAAATATTTAAAACCAGACTCATAAACGGAGAGAAAGTTTGTCGTAATTATTTAATATATTCAAAATCGAAGGGTTCCATATTTTGTGGACCATGTCGTCTTTTCGAAAGTGAACATGGAGGTCAACTTACTTCTGAATTAGGTTTTTCTGATTGGAAACATGCTCACGAGAGACTTAAGGTTCATGAGTCTAGTTTGGGGCATAAAAACTGTTTGCTAAAAATGAAATATCGGGGACAAGTAGAGACCCGGGTTGATTCTCAATTATATATACAATTAGAAGATGAAAAAAAGTATTGGTGTAACGTATTACTTCGAGTAGTTGTAGCTGTGAAACATCTAGCTACGCGTGGACTTCCTTTTCGTGGAAAGACAGATAAATTTGGATCCACAAATAATGGAAACTTTCTGATGATGTTGGAAACTATTTCAGAGTTTGATCCATTTCTTGCCAAACATATTGAGCATTTTGGCAACCCAGGAAAGGGCAGCACCTCTTACTTATCATTTGCAACATATGAAAAAATTATTAAAATTATGGTTGACAAAGTTACCGAAACCATAATTGAGCAACTTCAAAAAGCCAAATACTTTTCTTTTAGTGTTGATTCTACTCCGGACATAACCCATGAAGATCAACTTTCTTTAATTGTGCGATTTGTTCAAGATAATGCAGAACCAGTTGAACGTTTCCTTTGCTTTCTGCCAAATACTGGTCACAAAGCAGAAGACATGTTGCAAGCCATTTTGAAGACTATTGACAAACTGAATATCGATATTGCCAATTGTAGAGGTCAGTCTTATGATAATGCAAGCAACATGTCTGGGCAGTATAACGACCTGCAGGCAAAGATTAAAGAAAAATGCCAATATGCAACATATATACCTTGCGCCGCACATTCCTTAAATTTGATCGGATCCTCAGCAGCTGAGTGTTGCCCAGAAGCTACAAAGTTTTTTGGAGTATTGCAAAATCTGTACGTATTTTTTACAGGATCAACGGAACGTACAAAAATATTGCAAACATTTTTAACGGAACCTGAAAATGTAACCGTTAAAAGTTTGTCACATACGCGGTGGTCGGCAAGAGATGATGCTTGCTCGAGCCTGAATAAAAATTGGGAACAAATAATTAAAGCTCTGGAAGCAATAAAAAGTAACTCTTCGCAACAAAAAGCCTTAATCAAAAATGAAGCTACAGGTTTATTGGCTCAACTGAATTCCTTAGAAACAGCGATATTATCGGAATTCTGGGGATCAGTCCTAAAACAATTTAATACCGTTTCTAAAGTTTTGCAAGGTGTGGACACAGACGTTGAGGTAGTCTCCAACCTTTACGATTCCCTGATTACTTTTGTGAAAAATCAACGCGAATTATTCGATGCATTTGAAAAAGCTGGAAAAGAAAAGTGTACTGAAGATTACAAAGATAGCCGGAAAAGGATAACAAAAAGAAAAAAACGAGACGATGAGCAACGCGAAGGAGAAGTAATTTTACAAGGACGGGACTATTTTAAAGTGAATACTTTTTTGCCAATATGCGACCAACTGTTGGGCGAGTTAAGGAGGCGTAAAACATCCTATGATGCTGTAACCACCAAATTTGTATTTCTATCCAATTTAAGTACACTATCTGAGGCGGAAATTAAATTGAACGCATTATCACTCCAAAAGTCTTATCCTACTGATCTTGCGGATGATTTAAAGGATGAATGCATTCTATTAAAGAATTTTTTACCGTCTCAGGGACAAGAAACTAAAACAAGTTTACGCGAACTAAACTTATTAATTAATAAAAAAGATCTGAAAGTGGCGTTTCCTTACATTGAAATTGCGTTGCGCATATTTCTTTGTACTGCAGTAACGAAACGCTCATTTTCGGTACTCAAACGGATAAAAAACTATTTAAGATCGCGTCTTATCGAAGAACGGCTTAATAATTTGGCAATTTTGAACATCGAAGCCGATTTAACAAATAAAATTGATTATGACGATGTAATAAACGAATTTGTTAAAAATTTTGTCCACAGAAAAAAAATGTAAAATATAAAATCGATAATTTTTTTTTGTTTCCTTTCATTCCTTGATGGGGCGGAAAGCTACAGGAGCCCGGAGCGCGCAATCTTAAAATACGCCCCTGGGTATACCACAGACAATATATACTTATATAAGTATGGAACAAATTAAATCTTGTTCCTTAACATCCCCTCTCAATATTTAATTTGTTACATTACAAACCTTTTAGACGCAAAAACAACATAACATTTTATTTACTTAAGTTTATGAAATATTTATCTTATTTAAAAAATAATTATGTTTAACAGAATTAAGAGCCTTTGTAAATAAATCTGCAACATTTTTGTTTGTGCATACATAAGAAATATGAAATACATTTTTGTTAATACAATCCTTAATAAAGTGATATTTGATGTCTATATGTTTAGATCTTTTACTGTTTTCATTACAATGAATCATTTGAATGGCACTTTGATTGTCTATAAGCAAGTCTTGTCACTCGCCCAGTCCGCATCAGTGTAAGCAGTGAGTGAAGTTTCAGCCGACTTTGTATATGTTAGATACTTATCTGAAGTTTGTTTAAGGTAGCGAAGTACTCTCTTTGCAGTTATCCATAATGTTTTAGTGGGTTTATCCAAATACTTACTTAGAAATGATGTTGCAAAAGTTATATCAGGTCTTGTGGTAGTAGATATATAGGTTAAGCATCCTATCAATTCACGATAAGGTACATCAGTAATTATCTCTTCATTTAATAACTGAAGTCCAGATTCCATTGGACTGTGTACACCTTTACAGTTTTGCATTCTAAATTTTGTTAGTATTTTTTCTATTAGTTTCTTTTGACTGATTTTGATTTTTCCATCTTCTCTTATTATTTCCATTCCTAAATATTCCTTTGCATCTCCTAAATCTTTTATTTTAAATTCCTTTTTTAGTTTTATTATAATTGATGTCATTTCTTTATTTTCAAAGGCAAAACTTTTCTTCTGATTTGGGTAGATGATATTTTTAAGTAAAATATCATCTACCCAAATCAGAAGAAAAGTTTTGCCTTTTATATACAAACAAAAGTCATGTTTTGATTGCTTGAAACCTTGGGCAATTATGAAATTATGAAATCTATCGTTCCAACATTTTGGTGCTTCTCGTAAACCATAAAGCGCTTTCTTAAGCTTTAACACTTTTCCTTGATTAACTTTTACTCCTTTTGGTGGCTTTATATATATATTCTCTTTTATTTGACCATTCAAAAAAGCAGTAGGTACGTCTAGTTGTTTTATTGGTACACCTTATTGAATAGCATAACTAAGCATAATTCTAACTGTTGACATTCTTACAACTGGTGAATACACGTTATATGAATTCTTCAATTGGAAGCCTTTAGCAACAAGTCTGGCTTTTTTATTTCCATCTTGTTTTGTTTTAAAAACCCATCTAGTATCTATAGATTTTTCATCTTTTGGTAGATCTGTTTCTATCCAAGTATTTAAATCTTCAAGTGCTTTGATCTCTGTTTCAATTGCTTTCTTCCACTCAGGACCTTTCTCAATAGCTTCATCATAAGACAATGGATCAGAGTCCATTAATAAACAGTAAGCAATGTTTGACATATCTCCGTAGTTATCAGTTTCATAGTCTTCTAAGTATTTTGGTTGTTTTCTTATTCTTATTCTTTCTTTGTTGTTCTTGTTCTTCATAATTTGTTCTACAGTCTTCAAAATTTTCCATGTCTTTTTCCATTTTTGTATCTTTTGTCTCTTGCTTATCTACTGACCTTTCTTTTATGTAGTTATCTTCACTATCACTTTCATATATAGAATTTTCTTTCTCATTTTTATTTTCCCTATAGTATATATCATTTTCATTCATTCTCACATCTCGTGAAATTGATACTTTATTAGTTGTAGGATCCCAGAGGCGATATCCATTTGGTGCATAACCTACCATGTACATTTCTTTTGCTCTTTGATCAAGTTTACTTCCTCTTGGCATTATCACAACCCATGATTTACTTCCAAATACTCTTAATCGTGACAAATCTTTATGGCCATACATAATATCTGCAGGTGTTTTGAAGTTTATTGCAGAAGAAGGGCAACGATTTAATTGATAAGTAGCGCATGCTATTGCTTCATTCCATAAATATTTAGGCAAACCAGTTTCCAATAAAAGTATACGAGTTCTATTATAAAGTGTACGGTTCATTCGTTCTGCAACTCCGTTTTGCTGTGATGAATATGGTTGAGTATATTGTATCACTATACCTTTTTGTTTACAAAAATATTCTAACTCTTTATTTTTAAATTCTCTACCATTATCACATCTTATATTTTTAACATAATTACCTGTTTGTTTTTCAAGTTTTCTGATATAATTAATAATATTTGCAGTAGCTTCATTTTTATTATTCATAGTTAACGTTACACAAAAATGAGAATAATCATCTATAATGACTTGATAATATAACTGACCATCAGTTCCAGGTATTCTACACGGACCTGCTACATCTGTGTGAATAAACTCACCTATGTGTGTTGACCTCGGTCTCGGCACGGGGAAAAAAGGCAGTCGTGTTGACTTACCCAACATACATGGTGAACAAGGGTTGACACCAACTGGAAGACCCATACTACGTAGACTTCTTCTATTTAAATGTCCAAGACGTTTGTGCCACAGATCTTCTGAAGATGAAGCACTATTGCATAAATTGCTGGAATAGATTTCACATTTTAGTTTGAACAATTTACCTTCAAGAGAGCCTTTCAAATAATTCTTTGCAAATTGTTTTTGTATTATTACATAATTTTTGTTAAATTTTAAACAATAGTTTTTATTAACCAAGTTTTTGACTGATAATAGATTGAAATTCAAATTTTTAATAATTAATGCTTCTAAAGTAATTTCAAAATTGTTACAGAACATTTTAATTGAACCTTTCCTTTCAGCTACAATATAATCACCATTAGCTATATAAATCTTCATAGGACATTTAAGTTTCTGAATATTAAACATATATCTTTCAAAGTTTTCATTAATTAAATACTCAGTACAACCTGAATCTATAACCCATTCAATTGATTATGAATTAGTATTTGACTTTACATAGTAACATTTATGATTTAAATTATTTTCTAAGTTAACAGTTGAAATAAAAGTAAAAGCACTATTTGTTATTGCATGATTACTCGTTGAAGTGTTCCTGGAGCGTTGAGGTTGAATACTATGCTGTCTACCCTGTACTCGAGGTGGTGTTCTTCTTCTAAAATTTTTATCATAATTGTGACTTCTTGAGCGGCAATGCTTAGCAATATGGCCTTGTTTGTGGCATATATGGCATGTTAAAAAGGCTGTGTCGTCCGATAAATTAGGGTTCTTCTCGTTAATTTTAATTTCTTCATCTAGCAATCTTTGTTTGACAAAATCTAATTTCATATCGCTTGACAAATCACTGTTACATTCAATTGCAGTTATTACTGTGTCATATTTTGTATCTAATCCGGTCAGCATACATGTTATCTTGTCTCGTTCTGTGAGTTTTTCACTATTGCTTTCTAATTCTCGAACGATGCAATCAAATTTTTCAAAATAGTCATCTAGCTTTTCTTGTGAATTTTGTTTTAAATTCAATAGATTCCTTCTTAAATGAATTATAGTTATAATGCTTTTTCTTTGAAATAGATTTGTTAGTATATTCATTATTTCGATAGGCGTTTTACAATCTTTAATATGATTTAGATATTTATCAGGAATACATTGTACAAGTATACTTTTTGCTTTTGAATTTGCTTTAATGTGTTCATCACTGGATAATTTTGTTTCTCCTTCAATAGAAAATAAAATTTGTTTCTCTTCTAGAATACATTTCACTCTAAATAACCAATTATTAAAGTTATCAGGCTTTAATTGAGGAAATTTTTCAGACGCCATTTTGACTATAGCAAGTCACGCGGTAACGGCGCACTAATGGATTTATTGTTTCTTTATAAATATCTTTTGAAAGAAGCCCATAACCTCTTGACGGTATCTTGGGTGCCGCAAATAATATTTCAAAATTGTATATTAACATTTATTATTACAAAAGATGTTTTTATAATATTCGTAATCTATAGTTACATGTTGGCTTGCATAACGAGAACACAGAACAGAGAGAGTAAAGAGGGGTGTACCACAGACACTATATACTTATATAAGTATGGAACAAATTAAATCTTGTTCCTTAACAATTATAATTCATATTTGTTTCACACTTCGAAGCATTATCATACTTTACTTGTAATTCTTTTATAATTAAATTTAGTCTAATAAAATTTGCTTTATTTTAAGACCTTCGGCTGCAGATAACTTTTTTAATATGCCTATTTTTTTTTTGGTTATATGCATATGCATAACCACAAACCACAGAAGAATTCAATAGATTCATTTGGATTATGTTATCATAATTATTGTTATGACATTATTGTCATGGAATTTGCACGAACTACGCGTGTGTGGTTAAATTCGCGAACGTTTGAAAGCAAGTTTATTTGGAGCATCTTGTATGTGGGAAGGCAATACATTCCAGAGTCGTATAGCATGAAGCGAAAATGAGTTGGAAATGAAACCTGTCCGGTGAGAAGGAAAAATGAGAGTTTGTTTGCTGTCTGAACGAAGATTACGGCTGTGAGAAGCACCTAGATACTGAAATTTACATTTCAAATATCCTGGTGCACACGGATTTTTAAGTATAGAATAGAGAGTGGAAAGGATCCTCAGATCCCTACGCTGGAGAATTGTTAGCCATTTCAACTTTTTCCTAAAGGCAGAGACATGATCATATTTACGAATGCAGAAAATAAATCGAATGCAATTATTGAGTAAACGATCCAGTTTGTTTAGAAGTTCCTGCGTGATGTCAGCATAACACACATCAGCATAATCAATGATAGGAAAGATTATTGATTGGACTGGGAGGAGTTTAGTGGAGATGGGAAGGAAATTTTTGAATTGATAAAAAGACCTAAGTATGCCAATTACTTTACTACAGA